TGAGAATATTTTATTTTATGTGCAGGAATGTGCAGAAAATACATTTAAATGTTAAACAAATTTCGGCTGCTTTCTCAAATGATTTATTATTTTTGTATTTAACTATTATACAGTGTATTTGCTGATAAATGGTAGGCTGGTGCAATACATGAACAAAAGTATTGGGCCACATATGTTAACCTTTGAACTCAGGTGTAAAACCAAGCAGCTAAACATACAGTCAGCTTTACTTCAGCTCTGTGAGAGAACGAGACACTCAGTGAATTTGAGAGTCTTGCTGAGGAAACATCAGTGGACAAAGTGGTGTAAACGCCACTTTGTCCACTGGACTCTGGAGCTACACGCTTCTCTCTCTGACAGTGTGCTGGACCATTCTGGGGTTTGCTTATGACAGGAGAGCGCTGCCCGCCCGACTGCACTGTGCTGGCTCAGACAGATGATAATAATAATGCTATGGGGTCTTTTCTCCTAAAGGAACGTTTTAATGCGGGACTGTTCTGTGAATCCAGTTTTGTAGGAACATTTTGAGTATGGCCCTTTTCTTTTCCTACTTGAGTTTGCTGTGGGCCCCGACCTCAGTCCCAATAATGAACTAGGTTGTGAGCCAGGACCTCTCATTGGACAGCAGCACCTGACCTGGATGAGCCGTGCAGCCCATTATAACCTGTGGGTGTATGATGGGATGTTTGTAAAGCTCCTGTAAGATGTGGTGTGCAGGTGGTCCTGTACTTCATGTAGGGCGTATTCTTCACCGAGTGATCTCGAGCCCATACGAGCAGAATAATGCAGTAAAACTTACATACCTGTAATGTAAAGCATGTTTGTATCTTTGTAACCTGAGATGACAGTGAAATGTATTTTTTAAACAAAGACTCAGGACTTGTAGGCTCACAAATATCTGATTGTAAAAGAATCTGAGTTCAGCTTAAATCATCACTAAATTTTTCATTTATTCGTTGTGAGCTTTCACTTAATTTAACAGTCTGGCCCTGTGGGGAAAAATAATAATACAGCCTATCCCTACACTGGAGCATGAAATGTAAATCAGTCTGTAGCTGAACAAAGATCATTTCCTCCTCTTAGAGTAATGCTTTGGAGAACGTGCAGCGTCCAGCTGTTTGGGGACATCACAGGCTGTTGTCACAGATCTGATCAGGCAGCCTGTAGTGGCAGATTGCTCTTTGCTGCCAGCCTTGGCTTGTTAAGTGTGTGCTCATTTTGATAAAGAGCCATGGGTCCAATGCCTGACATTTTTCTCTGTCTGACCTCCTCAGAGCTATGGAGTGGATCACCTGCTCACATTTTCCAACCTGAGGCAGCTTGGGCTGCTGGTCGAGCAGCAGCCGGGAGAGACGCTCACTGTAATGGAGAGCAAAGTGGGCAAACTGGTTAATGATAAAACTGCAGGTGACAGTGGCTTCTCAGCGCAGTTTTAGCCTTCTCCACTTACAGGAAACCCTGCATTGCTCTGTGCATCAAGACACACGTGCTGTTTGACTTTTTTTCTTCTTCTTTGTTTCCAGGAAAACTGACAGATGCCTTTTCCTCTCTGGCAAAGAAGAGCAATTTCAGAGCCTTGAGCAGAAAACTTAACTTGGTAAATTATTGTTTAGGTGAACATCTTTGGTTAGTTGTATTTGATGACTCTACAAGAACAACTTTGTATGGTTCACGGTTCAAAATAAACCTTATCTATGGTGTACTGAGCCTTGGTGAAGCACTGTGTTCATCCTGCTTGGAAAAAAGGCTTTAAACAAAAAAAAATAAATAAATAAATCTCCTCCCCTTGTAAAACATCCCTCTCTTTAATCTTTTTTCTGATTGGTTGGCCCAAACAGAGAAATGAGTTTTAAGTTGGGATGACCACATTAGCAGTGTCCTCTCAGTGACATCAGACAGAGCCACAAGTAAAAAAAAATCACTGTTTACTTCTTTCACATAGGCTGACCTCATTGTTTGACACTTTTAACGAGCATCTGCAATCATAACACTATATATGACACAAAACAGTAACATATATTCTCTTTAATTAACTTTATTTTGTTTTAAAAACTACAGCACATACTTTTCCTAAAGGCATTTTGTTTTTCATTTCTGATTGTGTCAAATGGTAACGTGCTCATCATATTTTGCATCAAGGTGCCAAAGGCGGATGAAGAATATGACCTGCGTGTCCCTCGAGACATGGCTTATATCTTCAGTGGTGCCTACATCCCTCTGAGCTGCAAACTCATCGAACAAGTAAGTCAACCAGGACACATTCAGTCTGTGGATATGATGGGGGGGCAGCCATGGTAACTTTAAAATAAAATTCTATTCCCGGTATGTATTGCATAGGTGCTGGAGCGAGACGGTTGGACGGGACTTGAAGAAGTCACCAGGCTGCTAAATGGGCATGAATTTGCAGTTACAGGTTAGTTCAATGGCAGGTATAATGGATCCATTTGAGGCTATTGCTAAAACAGAAAAGGAGACTGTTGTAACAGACGTCTAACATCTAAATGCCTTTGATTTGATCACTGTTCTCCTTCTCTGATCAGGGAGCAGCGGCGTGGATTCAAGGGGAAAGAACGACACTCAGCGTATCATACTGGTCATGTTTCTTGGTGGATGCACCTACTCTGAGATTTCAGCCCTTCGGTTCCTCGGCAGAGAGAAAGGTAAACATTGTGATGGTGTGTAGGGCCACTTAGGCAAAAATAAAAAATGTGAAAAACATCTTCTGAAATGGGAGATGTATTTTTTTTATTGTATTGTTGAAAAGCAGAAAATAACAACCATTTCTATTTTTTTCTCTCAGGTTATAAATTCATTGTGGTTACAACTGCAATTACAAACAGTTCCAGACTCCTGGAGGCTTTGCTGGACAACCACGTATGAAGCCTGGCAGCACATCATTATGGACAGAACTGCTAAGGAGCCGCTATGCATTCCTCCAACACTGGCATTAAAGATAAAGAAATGCTTCATTCTGGTCTGTTTCTGGTGACGCGAGAACTGTAAAGTTGTGTAAAGTGAATAAACGTTTCTTAACATCTTCGTTGTTTTCTATGTAGTCGCGTTTACCGGCTGCCCGGCTCTGCTGTGAGTTCATCAGTTTAAAATTAACTGCAGTTTCTTCTGTTCTACTACGTGACGTCAGCGCACCGTCCGTGCGATCGTTGCGTTTGTTTTCTTGACGACGTGCAGTTCATTGCATGCAATGGGTAGAAGAAACTCTGGCGGCCCGATGTGGTGTGACAAAACGAGCGCACTGGCAGCACGGGCCAATCGGAGAGCGGGACGCTGCGAGTCGCGTATTTTGAACTGTGTACAAACGGACTGGGCGCAGGAGAGAAGCGGCCGTCTGAGGCTTGACCTTTCCACAGGTGTTTTAAACGGTTTTACCTGTAATTGTAACGGCCTCTGGAATTTAACGATGAGGAAAAGGTATGTTTAAGTCTTTGTTTCTCGCAGTGGAGTCAGTGTTTGTAAACTATATATTGGGCTCTTAGCAGCTTACTGTTAGCTAATGTCAAAGGCAGTTCGTAATTGATGTGTACGTGTTCCAAAAAATCCTGTTGTTGTTATAATGTTACGAACGGCTGGATTATCGATAGCTTGTGAATCCTGTATTAATAAACGACGGTGTCTCCTGCGTTTGTTTTTAGCGAGGTACTCGCAGCGGAGGCTGTGTCGTGCCTGAATAAAGCGCTGTGCCACCTGAAGGACATTTGGGAGGAGATCGGCATCCCGGAGGACCAGAGACTACAGAGAACTAATGTAGTCAAAAGTCACATAAAGGTGAGACCATTTCACATGTAACAGTATGTGTAACCTCTGATCACTGCTGACGTGTCAGTGACTCAAATGCACCTGCTGGATTGTGACCGGGTTTAAGTTTTAGGCTAGTGGTGTTTCACTGAGTGTAGGATGGTGCAGGGTGCTTTGGGTGAGTGTAAATCTGAATGACAGCAATAAAGAAGGATGGGATTGATGCTTGCATTCATTGTGAGCGAAACG